GCAAGGGCTAAATTTAAAAGTCGTTGAAAGAATTAAAGATAATTTCATTATGGTGAAAAGCCAGCAGGGTGTATTCCATAACAGTAGCTATTATAACATGAGGTATCTCCATAGCTCTACTTATCTGTCTATATCAGAGATGATCTCCAAACAGACAAAAAGAGGTTCCTCCTATGGAAGTAAAGGGCATACTAATAACAAAGCAAAGTTAAGAGTCAGTGCACATGTGCTGGTAAAGTACTTAGTTTAGTTTTGACCTCTTTTTTTAGAAAATGTAAATTCAAACAACCATTTATGTGTGTATAGATTTTCAGTGAGTCTGAGATGGAGACTGAGCCTGTTTGTTCTGCTGAGTGTGTGGAGACTGCATGTGAATGCTTCACTGTGACTCCCGAAAATCGTCAACTATCAATTAAAGATCCACAAAAAATTTAAGAGAAATTCCTAAAAGGATAATATTGGGTCCTGCATATGCAGGGATCCATGGATACAACCTACTGAGGATAAAAATATTTGAAAATATATGTGAACTAAATATGTACAGTCTTTTTTATTTTTCTTGTCAGGATTTCTCAAACAATACAGTGTAACAATTTATATAGCATCTACATTGTATTAGGTATTATAGGAAATCTAGAGGTGAGCTATATGCAAACACAGCACCATTTCACATAAGGGCCTAGACCATCCACAGATTTGGGTAACTGTGGTAGGTCCTGGAACCCATCCCAAGTGACACGAAGGGCCAATTGTATAACCTAAATAAAAAAAAAAAATCAACATTGATTTAGACATGGTGTTTTAAAAACTTGGGCTACCATGTTCAGTGGAACATTGGTTTGTGATTTGGGGAAAAACATTTACTACTTTAGAAGTAATTCCTTCATATATCCATGTACATCAATATGTCCTATATAGAAAAATCAGGGCATAGAAAACTAGATTGAGATCATATTCCATTTTTTTTTGAAACTATACACTAAAACATTCAGCTGTTTTGTATGGGCTTGATTTCTATTTCTGCAGCTAATTAAACTCTAATTTTCCAATAAGTCCGCCCACAGATAGACGACCACTTTTTTTAAAAGCTATTCATGGGTGGCTGACGAGCCCTGCTTCCCAAGCCCTAATTCTGTATAAAAACAAAGTGGAGAAACACCCTGAATTGTAAGCAATCAAAATGCCATCAGAACCAACAACATGTTTAATTAAAAGAGAAAATCTATACTAATTCATTATTTTCCCTTTACTCCCCTTCACATAAGAAAATAGGAGATAATACCAAGGAGTAATTAAAATGAAGTCTCTTTCTGCCCTCCGGGTGTCTGAGTAGAACCTTTGCCAATAAAATAATTAGCTTCGGATTTCTCATTTTTCTCTCCTTTGTCATGCTGAAATTGCTTCCGGGTCCTCTTTTAGAAACAATGCACTGTCTTCCCCCTTCAGTTAACCCTGGGCTCCTAAGAATCTTAGCCATCTTGTTTTTCTGTCAAAAGGTGAGATTGGGTGTGACAAGGCCATGGTCACTATTTGATGAGCACCCCAAGAAGACTGGAAACCAGCCTACTTTCCTGAATTGCAGTGAACTTGATGGGGCCATTGGCCTGAAACCAAACAGTAGGTGCAAGAGGGTGTGTCTGCACTTGCACTTAGGGATAGGAGAAGGGAGGGTTCACTGAGAACCAGGTGCCAACACTCTTGCAAAGCTCAAACCTGCATCCTTCTTTCCACCCAAGATCAGGTCTGAGAAGAAAGGACACCTGCTATTCTGATCTCTGAACAAATACTGTATTCGTTCGCCCACAGAGACTGCAACCACACACAAGCAGCACCCCACTTCAGGCAAAAGAGCTACTTGACAATAATATGCAGAGCAAACATGCAGAGGCTCATCTCTTGACACAAGGTCACACAGATGAAAAACTATGGGTCACCTCCCAACTATTTATTCACGATTACTCTCATGCATGTCTCCATGATGTGGTAAGCAAGAACATCTGACAAATACTGGATGCCAGTAAAGAAAACACTGGTGGAAATCAAAATATTGAGAGATCCGCATGCAGTCTCAAGGTAGCTCCCGAGCAAGACAAATGGAAGTTCCTTCAGGAGCTTGAGGTCGATAAAAGTGAGCAAGGAAATAAAATGTCAAGCCACAGTGACACAGACATGAGACAGCTTGAGCACCACTGAAAAGGGAGACCGTGCTATTAGTAAATGACATAGGGTACAAATCTCCCAACAATCACAGTGGCACCAAGGAAGATGGCCAGAGACTCACTGTAGCACACGGGAGTGGCTGAAATCTTTCATATCTGAGTCCTCGTAATGGGGAGTTATCATCCCCAGCCCACTATCACTCAGCATGCGTTTCCGCAGGGCAGGATTCCACCAGTCTGACAGCCTGGGAGAAAGAAAGGCACCAGACAGTTAAGCACTAAAAGTCAGCAAGTGATTTACTCCGTCCTATCTTAGGAAGGCCCTTTTCTCCACACTGGAGAAGTGAAATCCACCTTGACTGAGAGTTTGTTTCACATTTCCATATTTCATTGACTCTTTGTTATACGAACTAATTGGAGGATTTCACCTTTTTCACAGATAAACTGAATGTCAAGATGAGATGATTTTGCTGGGCCCCGGGGCGGCACATGCCTGTAATCCCAGCAGCTTGGGAGGCTGAAGCAGGAGGATCACAAGTTCAAAACCAGCCTCAGCAACTTAGCGAGGCCCTGAGCGACACAGCAAGACCCTGTCTCTAAATAAAATATTTAAAAAGGGGCTGGGAATGTGGCTCAGTAGTTGAGCATCCTTGGGTTCAATTCCTGGGAACAAAGAATAAAATAAAAAATAAAAAAGATTAGGTGATTTTTACATGTGGTGGGAGTCAGAAGCAATAGAGAGCCTGGCACAGAAATGCAGGTTAGAAAGTTACAAAGCCCATCCTCCTTCATTGTTCTTGGATCCTAGTTTATTTCTTGAGAACCGATAAGAAGTAAGAAAGGGGTGGGTTAGAGTTCTAGTGGATTTCCCGGCTACTTATATTTGGAGCTAAAAGGTGTAACCAAGGGAAAACCCATTTTTCCTGGCCAGTATTTGACATGGAGAGAGTGAAGGGTCAATGCCGAGGGCAGCCTTGGCAGGGCAGCCTCACTCCTCATCAGATCACAGGTGAGCACTTGACTTGCGGGGCAGGAGGACCCCAGATGCCAGCGCCGGCCACTGTTGCATTGGGATGTGGCATCACACCTGCTTTCCCACAGCTGACAGGTTGGAGGTAGAGCCATAACACACAAAGGTGGCCTTTGGGACATCTGGGGTTACATTAGGCCACCCTCGTGCCTGTGACCTTCGCCTCCGGCCAGCACAGTTCTGGTGGCACTGACTTTCTACATGCAACTCTGGATGGTTCCACGCTTCCATGTCAACCCACTCCTGATCCCCACACACTCATCATATACCGTGGACATCGGCTGGCCCTGGTGGAGTAGCACACAATAAAAAATGGCAGCAATGGACAAAAATTGAAACGGAAAGTGAATTAAGTGAAGGGGGCCAATGGAGAAAGTTAACTCCGAAGAACATGCCTGTTTAGACTGTGAGCATGTGCACAGGCCGGTCTGCTCTCCAGGACTGTCCTCATTTCACCAGAAAACACCCTCCTCTGCTTTTATTTTATTTTAATTTTTTTTAGTTGTCGATGGACCTTTATTTTATTTCTTTATACATGATGCTGAGAATCGAACCCGGTGCCTCACACATGCTAGGCAAGTCTGCTACCACTGAGCCACAACCCCAGTCCCCTCTGCTTAACTTTTGCACTGTTGTTTCTCAAGTCTTACACTAGTTCTCTTACACAAAACAGCTTCAAATAAATATTTTTGAATTGTTAACAATTTTTGAAATCGCCTAGAAACGTTAACACTACTTTGGTAGTGCAACCTGGTAAATGCCTGGGCTCTGGCATCAGAGCTGACTGAACCCCAGGTTTTCCATTTGTTTTCTGTGAGGTATTAAGCAAGAAACATAACCCCCTAAACCTCAATTTTCTTATGTATGGATTTAAGATAATTAAAAACTAAGTGGCATCATTATAAAATGATGATTGTGATTTTAAATAACATAATATTTAATCAATGTCCATCAAAGGGCCAGAATCTATTCTAAATGTTTTACCTCCATCAGTTCGTTTACTCTTCAAACAACTTCTCTGAGTAGAAATAATTGTTATTACATTTCACAGGTAAGGAAACAAGCACAGAGCACTTCCAATGATTAATTCACTAGGAGAATACAGGAGGGGCATACAGCACAGTGTGTGGCTTTTAGTGAGAGACTGACATGTCACAGTCCTTGTTATATAATCTATGTATCTCAGCCTGGAAACAGTGGAGAAGAAGAGAATCACTGTCACATCACCTCTGTCAACTTTTTGTTTGGATAACAGACCAAATAAATGGGCATAGATGCACAGATGCAAGTACCTGTCGCTTCTAGGTCTGGTAGGATGTGTTGGTATAATGGTTAAAGAAGGCTCCCGCATGACACAAATCTAGTTGGGAATGTGCATTCTACACAGCTACTCATAGGTCAGACTAACCACACAACAAGCTACACTTCACTCGTTAAAAAAGAAAAAAAAACACCAGAAAATCTGCACCTCAGAATAGTTTGCTGGATTTCAATGTCAACTTCAAAAGTAAGCCAGACCCAGAGGTCACCCTGAGGCCAGCCTCATGCTGGTGCCAACCAAGGAGAAGCTCACTCACCCTGAGGCCTGCTCTACTACCAGATCAGGCATGCCGGGAGGTGTCCCCGCCTGCTGTGACACCACCATATCTGGGTCGAGAATAAAAATCTCATCTTGGGAAATCTCCATCACGAAGTGCAAATGTTCCTAAGGAAGAAAAATGAACCTGTCAGATGACTGACAAGATGCTCACATCCATCAGCTAAACAATAACAGAACACAGCATCCTTGGTCGTGAAGAAGAATGCAACTCCGCACACCAAGCCACTCTGCCTGAAGCAGGCAGTGGGCAATGGGGAGAGATGAATCCCCCTTGGTTCAGGATTCCCAGTTGACCAGGATCTTGTGAAGTATAACCAGAATTAGCCTTGCCTCTTCTTCCCAAATACTAACAAAGAGCTGACACCACACATGCCTCTTGGTCCAGCGTCAGTACCTGACAGCTTGGACTTCCTCTCCCAGGATGAAGTCATAGTGAAGTGGCATGGCTGACCACTGGTTTCAACCTGGGTTCAATACCATTTGCACATTGTTTTTTTTCCTGCAGAATTCAGACAGTAGGAGGACTTGTTAAGCTTGAACAGAAACATTTTTTTTTCCCTCATTATGGAACTCTGGGGATTGATTAACTAAAACTATGTAGCCTGCATATACAATTAGGGTCTCAAACTAGTTTATCAGAAATGAGTTTAAAAGAGAAATTTTGGGTTGGCAGGAGTAAAAGCACTTGTGTGAAGGAAAATTTGGTATGCAGGCTGGTGATGATATCTACAAGCCATGTTACTATCTATGACCATTTGCAAGGTCAAGCCTATCATTCACTCCAAAAATCATAAAATACATGAAGACAAAAGGCCCCCGGGCTTCCACTACAAATACAACTCCAAAGTATACAAATGTTTCAATGCTTTTGTTGGAAAAACTTATGAGACTAGCTATAAATACAGTATACAGACTTTGGAGTTTTTCAATTTTGTCAACAGGCTGAAGGAAACTTACCTGAGATCTGTCTATTCGATAAAAGCGGTCAGCAGAAGTTGCTAAGGGAAAAAGAAAAAAAGCACATAGTATTCAGGTTCATCTGTGATTTGTCACCAAATTTACAGCCTTATCTTTTCCCACTGTGCCAATCAAAACCTTTGCATTTCGGTCACACTAGTGACCACACCTGGCCACTCCCTAAGACTATTAAGAAAAACTCAGCACTGAGCCACTGCTGTTCCAATGCTTAGAAATGCCTTCCCCATCACATCTGCAATCTACTCTTCCTTGTCTTTTAAGGGACAACTCAAATGTCTTCACTTCAATGATACTTTCCTCTATTCAATCCACTACCCTGGAAAGAATTTATTGCTATTACCTCTGTGCATGTTTATATATTATTTAAACTTGTTATACAGATGAATTTCACCCATAACTATGAGAATAAGATACTAGCTAGCTTCTTTAAAGGTTTCTGTTTCATTTATTCTTTTATGTCTTTAGAAATTTTTATAAGACCTTGAATAGTGCTTTATTACATAAAGAAAGCCAGAAAAACAAACAAACAAATAAACAAAAAACCCCAGACTTCCTAAGGAAGGGCTTGAATGAAGATGTAGCCGGAAACACAGCTGGCCTTAAAGCCAGCACATGACTTTCAAACTGCGTCCTTAGAGGCCTGTCTGAAGGAAACAAACAGACAAAGTAGATAGAGATATGGATATAGTATAGATGGAGATACAGATCATTCTCTGAGAGGAATTGAGGTGCATCTGTGGTATAAAAAAAAAAGAAAACAAAAGTACATATTTTGAGTATCTAGAAATTATTTTGAGTATTCCTAATATTTAAAAAAAATATTTCTCCTCCCTTAAATCCAAGAGTTCACATATTACAGATGTTTTACAAAAAAAGAAAGAAAAAATAGCAAGAGAGAAAAACTCAAAAACACAATTTATCATTTAAAAATCACAATTTTTTAAGAGCAGTTTTTCTCTAAATAAAACTGAGTTAAGAACTAAGACAATCAAGGTCACTGCTCTTTAAAATGTAAGACTAGAGTAAAATTTGCCTCTAAAATGACTTATTCTACTCTGTTCTTACCCATGGTTTCAGGCATGATTTTAACCATGAGTTAACCATTAAAAGGTTTTCAATGAAACTCTTTATAGAGTAAAATAATATCTAGATTAAAACCATTATCAACACCATTATCCACTAAGACTGTACATAGAACATAACATTTTTATAATAACATATAAGTACTTTCATAATTTTCTTCAAATTGAGATTTTCCTCTGTCAATCCAGGAGCAACAAATGATTGTGCTGAGTCCGAGGAGGCGGCTGATGAGCATTAGTGAAAACCCACATCTGATTTACATGGACTAGGGCTCACGTAGATATGGGTGCCCACCTTCCTAGCCATTGCAACTCACACACACACACTGTCACTCTGACCTACACCTATGTCCTCTCAGATAAATAAGAGAGGTATACAGTGAAAACCACGTCTCCATATAGACAACAGAGAGATCGGGTGGTAGAAATGTTGGGTAGTATATAAATAACAATGTGTAGAGTTAAGAATGTATTTCAGTACAAATGACTGGATAAAAAAAATGGGATTAGGATGTATCTATAAAGAGTGAGAAAAGCTTGAGATGGGAAATGGACTCATTAAACAATCCCCAACATGCATGCAATCTGTCATGCTCACTACAGCAGATGTGAGTGCAACTGAAATTTTGTATCCTTGTTACAAAAATGTATACATTAAAATGAAATGATTGTCTCATAAAAATAACATGGAAGCTCCGTGACATGCAAATAATATAGAAATCAGTTCCCATCTTGTGCATGTAGAATCTACCCACTGGCCTGAATCAATTTAAGGGAGGCCATCAGCAGTTATAGCCAAAGTGGGGTGATAAAAGGAAAACGTTAGCTTGAGCAATGTGATACTGAGTTAACCAAGCACTTGGAGGAAGTGACTTAGGCAGAGGTGCTGTGGCATCAGCAAGCCACCTCATTTGAGATGCAAATACCAATTGTGGTCCCAGAAAAGCTTTTGGAATGATCTTTGGAAAACTAGTCCTTCTATCAATCCATGCCCTGCCCTGCTGGCTCCAACCCCCTCCAGTCCCTGGTGAAGAAAAGCCACACTCACCATCTAGGAAGCACCACCGAGGGGACAGCCTCTGAGCCGAGAGTGCCCTGGGGAAGGAGGTTTCATGGTCCTGGAAAGAGACACACATGCCCGTGGCCCCATGTGAATTCCCCAAGGGGCTTCCCCCCCCCTGACAATTTTGTCACATCACCCTCTTCTAGAAGTGCCTGCTCTTTCCTGAACAAAGGAATGGTGAGAAGATCAAAGTAGGTTCTACCAGAACCAGAAACATGACTTTGCTTTGAGATTATTATTTTTTACATGGAGCTTCTTAGAACAACTCCCACATAAAACTTGCAGGAGATACTCCATTGTTACCCTACATATTCATGAACTAACTTGAGACACTGACTGCCTTCTGGTCTTTTCTTTCCTTTTGTGAAGCTGAGGAGCTCCACATAGGTTTAACATGAGCATATCATAGGAGAAAACTGAACTGTATCCACTGTTCAGATGGGACTTAGAAGTATGTAGGAAGCTAAAGAAGCCTTGGAACTCACGGAGCATCTATTACAAAGAAAACTCAAGCTCCTATGTCAAGGTCATCACTAACCTCATCGGTATCTTGGGATGAACCTCCTTTCTTTCAAATTTTATTTCTATAACATTCCTACCATCTACTTCTTAAAATAATCTTTGGTTTGCAATGGTTCTCCCTCTAAAAACTCAATGACCCTCAACTTGATAATTTTCTAAACCTCTCCTTTCTTGCCCCATCAAACTCCTGAAGCATGTGTTTAGTGTCTCCCACCTCTGACTTCCAGTCGCCCACTTTGCCTATGGTCTCTAGAAGTCCAGCTTTCAGAAATCTTCCAAGAGATCAAAAAGACCAGGTTTTTGCCCTGAGTTAACACTACTCTCAATCTTAAAACTTCCTTGGAATCTCTTACTTTTACTTTTACTTCTTATGAGTAACTAAGGATAAAGTAGCAGAACAAGACTAGTGAACTGGCAGATTGAAAACTGAAAGAATTATATCCTTATGGTGACAAACTTTCAAACATTAAACATTTCCTACTAACAGAAGTTCACAAATGATACCTGATGGATAAAAGTGCTTTTGGGTTCACAGGACATGATTTGGAGCCTTCTAGCTCTGGTTCATAGTGAAACTGAAATCACTGAGGGACAAGAGATAACTGTGGGAAGCCAGGTCCCTGTGGGGAAGACACCTGGGACTTGACCCCGAATGACCCCCATTAGGGGTTTGAGATATTCAAATATGGGGAACATCCCTGGAGGACAGCTATGCTACAAGCAATGTCAACTTGACAGAGGAAGCATAGGTGTGCTTGACCTTGTGTGTACAGAGGAGACAGGAGAAGCAAACAGGAATAGCATGGAGAACAGACTACGTTGACTCCTAGGGGTTAGTCATTACTCCTGCTGCCTCACTTGATCCTCAGGCAAAGCCTAGAACTAAATCAATGGTTCTCAAAGTGTGCACCATGGATCAGTAGCATCACCTAGGAACTTGTTAGAAATACAGATTCCCAGGACTCACCCCAGGTCTACAGAAACTCTGGGGTAGAATCCAGTGATCTGCTGTAGCAAACCTTTCAGATGAGTCTGATATTTGCTAAAGAACCATGGAACTAAAGCTATCAGGACTAAAAGAGGTTCATACCAGAAATACTGAGTATACAGTTTTTAAATATTAATGATTCTGTGAATTAATTAATTAATTGATAGAGGAATAAATGGCCTCATTCAGGACTGATACCAAAATTTATGTTATAGGTACAGAATTAAGATAGCTCTGGAAACAGATAGAGCTTCTTTTTTGCACTAGCTTTGTCAACCTGATGGTTGAGCTAAATGAAATCTTGACATGTACTCAATACTTATGTTTATGAAAATTATGTTTAACATTCTGAGAATTATATTTTGACAAATGTGATATCTCACTTTAATGGAACTTACATTTCTCAATGCATTTTTACAAAATGTGTAAAGCTACTGACATCTCAGTTTTGTGAGAAATGTAATTATAGACAAAAAATTTTGAAATCAATTTGAAATGTTTAGTGGCAACTATGAAAGCTAATAAATAAAGATATTAAACAGAAACATGGTTTTCTTCTCAACCTTAAACACCAAGGACACTTTCTGAATTTTGATATTAAATATCAGAGAACACCATAAAAACATACCTGAATTTCTACAAGCAAAAATCAACTGAAATACTATACAAATATTTGATCTATCATTTTAAAAATTGTAAAGAAACATGATGTTATCACTAGGACATTCAAATTAGAGAAAATTTGATACTCTTCCCTCTAATTAGCAAAACACATATTGATAAAATACCTCAGCCATATGACAAGTTTATCACACTTTTAAAGAACTGTTGATGTAGGAAAGACAGTGGAATGAATTTGACATAAGTTTTCTATGTACATGTGTGAATCACCACAGTGAATCTCTACATCATGTTCAACCAAAAGAATGGGATCCTAATTAGAATAAGATATACTCCATGTTTGTATAAATATGTCAAAATATACTCTACTGTCATGTATAACTAAAAACAACAAATTTTTAAAAAAGAAGAAGAAACATGGATATAAATATATGCCTTTTCATGTGTAGGTGTCTGTATGTCCGAAGAGTTTTATGCACATGCCTGACTGCATTTATTTTGCTTATTTTTGTTCACTAGTTTATTCTATATAATTACAGACCAACTTTTTCTTTAGCCATTCAAATGTTCCCTTGGGCTTTTATTATGAATATCAGTGACTGCTACACTGTGCATGAACATTTTTTAAGATTGTCACAGACCTGGTCTATGCTCTGAAAATGGATTTTTCTGTAGTTGTCCTCTAATAGTAGCATAACTCTTGACATTCAACTGCTTAGCAATAAAAGGTGGTCAACTTCCACCTCCAACTAGAGTGCTGTTTAATAGTTGGTCGAAGGATGTTGAAGCTTAACAAATTAGAATTATGCTCTTTTCTCCATTTCCGTTAGTTTCAAATTGGTAGAAGGTTTTAAAAATTGTCAAAATGAAGATTAACTGAAGATAAAATACAATGCAATGTACAGAATGTAAGGAGCATTTCATGCAAACTGAGAATATGGAGACAGAATCATTCAAAATCTCATACAGTATTTACTCTGCAATTTGACACAGCATTTGACATCACTCAATGACCTTCAGAAGGTTTTGTCTAAAGAGGTTTTATCGCTTTGCTTGATGAAAACACATCAGTTCCATATAGATCTTCCAAATATTTCAATGGCTTTTTGAACAGGCTCAACAATTCTTGAACCCTGAAATTTTATATTAAATTTGGTTGATTATGGGCACATGTATTTTTCTGGAGAGAGAAATCTGCTTCTATAGGTTATCAAAGTGATCTGACATTCCCCAAAGGTTAAAAAGCTAGTAATTTAAACAATCCAAAATTTAGGTCAAAAGAAATTCAACAAAATAAGAGGATTTGGATCAGTAAATTGCCTTGAGAATATCTAAAGACTCAAAAGCATAGGAATCTCTGCTTCAAAAATTCTTGGTGACTGAAATACCAAACAGCAGCTCTCTGAGTTTGTGGGTACTCTTGATAGTGGGCAAGTCGGGTAATTATGAAAGACACAACGGACATTTTGCTTGTTTCTATCCATGGTCTATCCCAAACATTTGTTCTCAGTGTCTTGAGTTCCAGCTCTGCTCATTTTTTAATAGACATTTTGAGCTTTGTATAGTCTTAATAACTGAAATAAATAATATTATTAATTAAAATCACAGAAATCTTGATTTGAAATGTTAATTTTAGTGAAAGGAAAGGATAATTTCTTGCTGAACTGAAGATTAACCTGCAATTTTGGAGGTTGATCAGGAAGCTCAAATAGAGACCTAACTTTTCTAAAATGCTACCCAAAAGGGGTTTGCATCCTCATTCTCCTTCTTTGAAGCTCTTTCCACCTTTTATGTTAAAAAAAAAATTGAGCTTGTGAGAGGATGGCTGTAACATAATGAGGTCCTATATTAAAAGTCACTTGAAATCTGAAGAAAATATAATTAATATCTGGGTAGATTTATAATGTGATTAAACTAATTTTTTTTTCACATAGAATAAATTACACAAAAGCAGTGAAGTCTCAACAGAATTCTGCCCTTGTCCCTAATCCATACACATATATGCAGATAAATAGACCCTGGGACACTGAAAGCAGAGATTTTCCTGAAATCAATGTAGAAATGGTATTTCCATGTAGCAGACAGACACAAAATGTAAGACATACCTACAATATATACCAATGATCTATACAATTTTTAAAAAGGCAAGGAAATCTAACTCCCTTAGCCCACATGGGTGCTGGGACTACATCTCAAAGACTTGAGGGAGAAGAGGAGGTAAAAGGCAAGCTTGGGCCAAGACCTGGTGGTGGCTCTGTGATGACTGTGGTTATTGAATTTCGTTTGATTTGAAAAACTGAGTAAAATTTACCTACAGTGAAAAAGTCTGCTTTGGAAAACTAAAATTTTTGTAGGATAAGATCATCATCATAAGAGGCAAAAATTGGCATGACCCAAACAAATGTACCTGTCCTTGGGATATTTAAATATCACATGGGAGACACACCTCTGAAGGGGAAAGAAGAACAAGCCATGACATTGTAAAGGATCCAGTCTGGCTAAACAGCAAGGACAGAGGTGATGGAAGTCTGGTTGTTCTCCAGGAGCACCAGCTTTGAGGGTCACAACTATCCTGGCCCTACCAAGTAGCAGCTCTGAGGATCTAGGGAGGTTTCCTATCTCATCTGTCCCTGGACCATCTCATTTGTAAAATAGCTATAACAATATCTATTGTACAAAATTCTATTGGGGAATAAGTGAGCCAAAATGAACAATGTTTACTCTATTTGCTGTTTCTTACCAATACGCTGACACAGATATTCTAGACAAGTAATTCTTGGGCAGCTGACACACAAAGATGCTACTTAACACAACTGTGTCCCTTGGTCACATGAGGAACTTATGAGACACACACCATATTCCGGAGCACATCATTTAGTTGGTGCTACCCCAGCACAACACTGTTTCATCCATCCCACATTTGT